ACCGTGGTAAGAAACCTGATATTAGTGATAATCATATACGTATACTACATTTTTAACCACCTTGAAATAAAAAGAAGAGGTTCTCAATTCGAGTGTATTTTTTGTAGTGTGTATGTTACGCGATAACTCCGACAATTGAGAACCGATTTTGATGATAATTTATTGTTGGAAAGAGGGTACGTCAGTATTGGTCCCATTTAAATTTGAAGAAAATATTCCACCTCTAAGGGTGGCGAACTAGGGGATGAATCCGGTTTCGCGCACTTTCCGGTAACCGATTTCAATAAAACTTCGCAAATAGATGTAATCCCACGAATTTTTGAGGTCGGTATTTTTATTTATTCACCATATAAAACACAACCATATTTCTTGTCGCATTTTAATCACTATAAGGTTGTCGTAATGGGAACTGTATCCACGCAATACATACATAAGTTCAATTTGCTAACAGAAGAAGCATTATTATACTATTTAAGTAATTTGTATAAATAATATCCATCAGTCACTACCGCTATACAGCTCAGTGTGATTTCCACTGTTAATTGGACATAGTTATGCAAACTAGAACCAACCCACATAATGTCACTTTCGAGATAATTAGATTTTTGTAAAAACAGTGTGAAAAAATAAATAGGTAAGTTATTTGAGACAAACAACGGGAGTTAAGTGTAGCATTGAGAATGATATAGAGAAACTATTATACAGTAATAAATAGAAAATATTATGTAAGTATCTTTTTATTTTGTTAACGAGAACCATTGTCTAGTTTTCGTAATGAAAACGCAATAGGTCTACAGTACTTCCGTACATGTGACATGGATCTATTTAGCATATTTAAAAAATTACATTATGAAGTTAAGCAGCATGGTTCTTTTTAGCTATTAAAAAGTTCTTATTTAGGGTTAGTACTCTGAAGGACTTTTATTTTCTCCGTTTTGGATTGGTATATTGCCAGGATCTGGTGAGCGGGTAAAGAACACGTTCACTCGAGGTGTGGGTTGGTTCTTGTTTGCATAACTATGTCCAATTCTACTATCATATTTCTTCTGTAAAACCAAATGTTCACTATCCCACACCGCTCCCACCACAAAACAATATGAAAAAAAAAATCATTAAAACAATATTTTTACTGGAAAACGATGGTTCGAATCCTGCCGTATCGAAGGATTTTTTTTTTTAGTGTTAAATCGTTGTATTAATAATGATAACAAACTAGTGAAGTAATATCATGATAGTAAAACATCGTGACATTCAATGAAAACTTAAAAATTATAAGTATAACAATTTAACAATAAGACAAATCGATCCATGGTCTCGGTTGACTGAAATGGTAAAGTCATCGACCAGTTATGTCTAATGTTAATGCAAACTCCCCAATTCCGAACTATAGTTACAAAATGGGATGTGCAAAGAGCCCTATACTTCGGTTTGTTTGAAAGATCAGATAGAGCTTGGCAATTTTCTCCTACGTAGAGTATAGTATGTCGAAATTGCCAAGTTTACAGGGGAGCGTTTTAAAGTTTTGAATTCTGTCACCCGACCCGCTTGTTGACCCACATCTGCGTTAATATAAAATTATAAATTAAATTGTGGTTGTTCATCTAACCGATATCTAGGATTTTATAATACTCTATGTGAGTAACGAGCTTTACCGAATAAAACAGAGAAATGCTAAGTCATGTGTTATGTTCATTTCAGTGAACTCAGAACTTTAAAACGCTCCCCTGTAAACTTGGCAATTTGGACATACGATACTTTACGTAGGGGTCGAATATGTGGCCAGTGGTTTATGTGAGCATTGTTATTATAATTAAACCTTTTTTAGCATTTGGTTAAATAGTCTATGAAGTCTTTTTCTTTTTGTCCAACTGATTCCTTTCATTCTTTTCAAGCAGCATATCTCAAATACTTTCACATTTCACCTTCATCATTCGTTTCCTGGCTGTTTTTTTAATAGATGGTTTTTATTACTAAAAGCCTTTTATTCATTGCGATTTTTGCAAATATGTCAGAAATACAATTGATTGGTTTTTATTTATTTTTTTGCTACGCAACATGTGCCCGGTATTTTCTAAACAGGCTCTCATTTTTCAAATATGACTTTTCGCTTCTCTACTATTCCGTTTCTTGGCTCTCTCTACTGCGGTATTTAAATTATAATAGGAACATTCTCAAAATAACAAAAATGTAAAAAAAAACAACATATTTAACGTTCACAAACAACTCAAAATTACGACCCCATAAAACTGCGCGGAACTCCAAAAACTCATTTAAAAGAAATATTATCTAAGATTCGTTTGCAATTTATTAAGCTCAATATCTACAAAGTTTAACAAAATTTCACTCAAACAATAAACCTTGAAACACTTTTGGCTCTAAAACCGTAAAATCGTTGTAACTATTTCTTATAAAATAAATTTATTACAAAATATAGTCGTAGGCATGATTTTGTGATTTAAAATAAACCTCCGGTAAATATTCCACGCTAAAATACATTTAAAGTAATGTACTTCCTTATGAAATAATACGAGATCGCAAAGCACTTACCATTATTGTATCGTGATTTGGACGAAATGTCGAAGAAAAACAATAACACACGTATGTACGTGCCGGCAGAGATCGCGCCGATGACTAAATATCGTCCACACACTGGTTCCGCCGAAGCCGGCGGCCGCATGGAATAACGCGTGACGTCACCGTATCAGTTTATTGTAATACTTTAGGCAGGCATTTAAAATATATTGCGTTGAAAAGTTCAAAACTCATAATGATGCTCATTTGTTTTTTTATGCAGCTACCACTTTAGGGAGTCACTACAGGTCAGAAATTTTGTCCGCGCAATGCAATGTTCTTTATCTTCAAGCCAATAAAGTGTCAGGTCATTTCGTTATGTACATATTTTGTTGCAGTCGTCAACAGCAGCCGCCCCTGCTGCTGAGTATGAAGTGACAAAACTGCTGCGAAAGCTTTGCGGCGGCGATGTTGGGTAAGTTGTTTGAAACGTTTTGCGTAGGGCAACTCGTTTTCCAAACTATAAACTATATTCAGGCTAACTGAAATATGTGCCGTCACGCGTCAGGAGGAGAGACGCGGCCATACTGTGGCCAAGGAAACAGACTTTCAAAATTCTGTTCTTGAAATGAATATTCTTGATAAGACCATGGAAAGATGCAGGGTTTTTTGGGACGCACCTGGGGGTAAGCAGAGTTTCGAAACAATTATAGGCCTTTTTATTTCACTATGCAAACATATAGTGAATATAATAGTATACAAATGGTTTCTTTTTTAAATGGGACAGTATAGGGAAATCGAAACCATAAAAGATACAAGGAAACTGTCTTAAGAACCATTAAGCCTTTTCTTGTGAAACGTTTTTGCCGTAGTCAATTTTTTGGTCAACTGTGAGTTGTCCATAAAAAATTGATAAAAATGTTTTTTAGATTCATCATCGACTCAGTTTCAAGGATCATTTCATTGTACGGGACAAAAAAATCGAAGACTTTCAGAATACGGGACAAGCATCTCGCCTGAGTACGTTCAATGCTCAGAGGATCGAAACGTTTGACAAAACTTTTCCGGATCCTCAGTCACTGTTGCACTGCGACGTGATCGTGCACAGGATGCTGAGTGTCGATTGCCATTTTTGCTCTTTCGCAATCTTACATTTCTGCTGTGATAGATGATGTACGATAGTCAAAGGTATGGTTATAGTGACCATACGTCCCACATTGAGAGGAATAGTCCCTCTTTTAAGCTTCGTGTCCCGCTGTTCCCAAAATACTTAAAAAAGTGGCGCGAAAGCGAAAAATAAATATATAAAGCCAGCCCACCAAACTACACAAGATTAGTTGTTTTTGTTTTTAATTTTTCGATCATTAAACATTATTAGTTCTTTTAAAAAAAAAAAATTAATCATGAAATATTTCGTAATTATCATAAACATATGTTTGTATTTGTAAAACTATAACAAATTTAGACGTTCCGCTCTGAGGAAACAACATAATGGTCACGTTAGGTGTGATAGAAGAAGAAATAGAAATTGAGCGTTGCGCAGTGCAAGTCTCACAGACTGGCTGAGGGATTGTGTAATAAAAGAGCGTCGTGGTGTAAAAGATGATGTAGGGACATTGAAGTAGCAATGCACAAAGCAAGGATGGATGGAGGTTAGTACAATAACGACACAGGTTTACTGAACGAATGAGATGGTACATGGATAAAAGTTTCTAGGTGTACATCACTCAATCAGATCACAGATGACCTCAAAAATACCAAGTCAATAGTTCCAAGTAAAAACAGGCATTCAAAGACTGATACATGTGGAGGGAGCCAAAGAGACACATTAGAGACATGTATGTGATATGTGAAAAGATCTTAAACGAAAATAAATTCCTTGTATCTTTTAAAAACACTGTTACACAACTTATTCAATTGTAGTTAGAACCGTTACCCAGTACTAAACTTGATTATAAATTAAAAGAATAAAAGCAAATTATTATCGTCGAAAACATTAATAAATCGTAAATGAATTAAGTGTTTTCAATGCTACCGCTACAAATATAATAGAACATGAAAACAGATGAACGAGGGTTCACTTACTAAAAACTATGAACATACAACTTCATTATACTATGTTTCGTGACGAATCTAAAACTTCCAAAAAAAAACTTCCTTCAAATCTGAGGATCATCAACATGTAGCTTTTCCAGTACGAGCATTCAAGCACCTGTGGAATACTTTCAACTTTCTGCTCTCTTCACTACATCAATTTATTCTATGGCACTTCCTGCTTCTTCAGGGTGCAAAAGATAACACAAAATGTGACAGAAATTGTCGACCTTTCCCGGTACATAAGTCTAGCTTATAATAATTCTTCAAATTACATTACATTGTCTGTCTTCTACTTCTTCTATGTTCCTTCGGCACTAAGGTTGTGACCACGTGAATTATCTCCTGCTACTGTTACTGCCCACTGCATTATTCTCTGCGTTAATTTTGCCTGTGTTTTTCCTATAACTGTCTCTACAGTTCTCCAGGTTGCAGAATAGATACAGAAAGAGGCTCGAGTCCAATTCGTGATAAAGAGTACATAAGTGTTTACGTTGCAATATTAAATCTTTTTTTATTTTATAATACCAAGTGACGGAACGAACAAGTCGTGCGCCCGGTAAGAACCGACACGCCTATCTATAACAGTTGCAGCGCCACTCAGAGCTTTAAATCGCAAAGATCTTAGGGGCACTGCCACTGCGTCCGTCACCCTGAGACATAAGTTGACAAGTCCCATGTGCCTGTAATTTCACCCTACAAAATCGGAACACAGTACCTAATGCTCGCATTACTGCTTGGCGGCAGAAATAGGTAAGGTGACAGTACTTCCCTGGATGAACTCTGTCACAAGGAGCTCTACTACTCCTAATTCCATTTTAGACAAAAGATTTACGATCCCATTTTAGACTGAGTTTCAGAGATTGGGCAATAACGATATACCTACACGACCTCGATAATGATGTCGGTGGTCTAAGGATCTGAGTTCGTGATGTATTAAATGCCTCTATACAGCTTGGTATTTCTGACGACTAGCCTAACCCCGAAAGTTAAAGTGGTGGCAGTGCCCACACCCACACGATATCAGAACATCCTAATACGGAAGATTACTATTAATTGAATTCCGCTATATTTGGTCCTCTGATTGATATCCGGGGCCGGTGCAGAGTTCAATGACTTTATTTAGTAATTGTTTAAATTTTTATTAAAAATTTATCATCATCTAGATAAAGTGGATTACTGAACTTAAGACTTCCTAATAGAACACCGCCACATACGGTCCTGAGCTGCCTACGGCCCGTCAGTACTCAGCAGCGTTCTCTGGGTCCCTGAGACCGTCTAGCCTGAAAACCAAATCCTATACATTTTGGAATTCCTTCTCTGTATTCTGAAATTCACTTCCAAAGTGTACAGGATTTGCTATTTCCATCGAGTATATAACCAGAAATAGACACGAAATAAGGGTCATCCATCCTTCGCAACTCGTCGGGCAAATGGGCCTTATGTCACTTTTAAATATCGTAAGCTGATATAGTACAGCGCCAAAAACTGACCTGTGTTTACGTCTCCTTATATTCCAAAAATATTCTGTATTTATATAATATCTCTAACAAAGGGGGCTGTTCCATTTGGTGGTGTAGGAAAAACAGCAAAACATGTAATTACAAAACAGACGGAATCACATTTCATCGGTAATTAAATATATAATATGTATTTTTTTAATTTACGTCCATTATAGCAAAACTCAAGTTAAACTGGTCGATTTGAAGTGAAACAATGGACGACACCCGTCAATTGTCTCGAATTCGGGCTGGCCAATCGGAACGCAGTTGTCGCCGTAATGATATAGCAGAATAGTTTTCACACAGCTTAAATGACATTTCGTCTCTATTTCTGGTTATATACTCGATGGCTATTTCTTACTCAAATTCAGACTGATATTCAATTATTATACACTGCATCGTTCAACTCATTTTCAAACCCACAATCTCTTTATCTAGTACAATTACAGTGTATTACATAAAATGTGAAATTTTCTTGAAAAAAAAATTTTCTTGAAAAATGTGAAATCATCTATTAAAACGTACATAATTTTAATCATAAATACAATATTTATCTTAATCCATGTTTGTGTCAAATTCCATAGATAAGCACAAACATTTTTAGTTGCGTATCGTGAAACTTAGCCCACTGAAACTATTGACTATACTATACGAGAACAAAATATTACTTGGCTGTTCGAAAAACCAATGCAACGATACAATATTCCACTCTTTATAAGAATAACTTGTATGAACAAGTTCCTGGGAGTTTAGTATTTAATAATAAATAAAAGCACGTTAAACCATGATGTGACCGATGATGGTATTTGTCTAAAAATGGCTATTTCACACGTGGTTTGAATAGCCCTAAGTTGTGAAACAAAACAGATACGTGTCAATAAGGAGGAAGCAAAGCGCTTCTTGAGAAAGATGGAGTGGAGACCTATGATTAGAAAAACCTAATCGTAAAGTAACAGCGCACACTCAACTGCTGCTACCTATGAGATGGTTATGCTAAATACCAACTGGCCACCTTGGGTTTAGTTGAAAAGCATGCCAAGAGGCTATGTGACTCAGATTTAGTAGAGGGGAAGCTGCAAAACCTTGACTACCGCTATAAAGTTGCCCGCTACATATCGCGGAGAGTACGATGAATTTGCTCGATTTGATTCCGCCTTCCCCTTTTCATCTTCGGGGGTTAGACGTAGACTGGGTTTTCACCCCCATGCTGTGGATATTCCAAAGATTCACACGAACCGTGACTCTTCCAAATTTATGTGGCGAACGGCTATGGAGTGGTATCTTTGTCATCAACAGTTTCGAATGGTGGAGAAGAGATAGATAGATATTTAAACAGCGCAAATAAGATGTTAAAATAACGAAATCATATGGGCTATTTATTAACAACTCTGACACTGCATTAAATAATATCGTACTCATCATCACACCCTTTCAATATGACCGGAACTATTTTATATTGATTTAAAAAGGTTTAAGTATTTCGATTCAGAATTTCGGGTTCGAAATTGTAATTTCAATTCGTGACGCTATTTATGGTTACCGTTCGTCGTCGAATTCTACAAAGAGCCTAGTTAAAGTAGTTGCTATTTCCTAAACAACCAACGGCTTATCAATACTATCAATCAATTTATCAGCTTATTGTGTGGAAATGTTTTTTATTTTTATAAATACTTCGAATTGTAAATTTTATAATCCTGTTTAAAAATTTTTTTTCGATAATAATGTAGCTGAAATGACTAGTGATCTTTTAGATGAAGAATACCTCGTTTAGAAGCACGATGTTTGCGGATTTTTATTTGGAAATAATGTTTTCTTACCTATTAGCATGTTATAAATTTTCACTTGCCAACGATGATCATGAATGAGAAAAGACATCTTC